TAATTGATTGATTGATTGATTGATTGATTGATTGATTGATTGATTGATTGATTAATTAATTAATTATCTCGCTTATCTGGTCGGTTAAGACCACTCTAGGCGGCTAACAGCATATATATACATATATATATTTACATAAAGATAGATATTTCAAAAACTGGGAGCAAACAAAAGGAGAAAGAAGGGCATCTTTCGTCTGTCCACTGCACCTCGGACATTCACAAAGTGTATGGCTCTGGTAGCAGCGTACCTTCGTCTACACAACATCATGGTCTTCCCGTATATAGACGATTGGTTGATTGTAGCTGCTTCCCATCAGAAAGCCATCCAAGACACTGAGTTTGCCCTTCATACCCTGAAAAACCTAGGCTTGAAGGTAAACATGAAAAAGTCTCATCTCATCCCAACTCAAGTTGTGGACTATATTGGTGCTCATCTGGATTCCATAAATGCACACATCTTTCTTCCGCCCAAACGGATTCAGAAATTACGTCATGTGTTCCATCAGTTTTATCGGCTCACCAGGGTTTCAGCCCATCACACTCAGCATTTTCTGGGGCTAATGCATCAACCACGTCTTCCCTGCCACATGTAAGGCTGAAGATGTGATCTCTACAGGCTTGGTATCTGTCCAAATTCAATCCTCTGACGGACAGGCCAACCGAATCCTATGTGATACACCAGAATTGGCGAGGCAGTGGTAGAGGTTTGTACCACATTTTCTCATGGCCTGTCCGTTCCATCATTTACAGCTTGCAATTCAAGTGACAATGGATGCCAGCCCTATGGGCTGGGGAGCACACTGCAGGCCACACAAAATACACGCTCTGTGGTCCATGCAAGAGAGATTTCTCCATATAAACCATCTCGAAACGTGGGCAGTCACCAAAGCATTTCATGCTTTTTGTCCTCTGATTCAAGGTCACGGTGTTCAAGTGGTCACAGACAACACCACGGCCATGTATTACATAAACAAGCAAGGAGGCACCCACTCAATGTCACTTCTCTATCTGGCAGTTCACCTCTGGGAGTGGTGTTACGATTATCACATATTTCCCCTAACCATCCATACATCAATGGACAACAACGAGGTGGCGGACACGTTGAGCCGTCTTACCATCCAGATGCACAAATGGGAACTCAACACTCCAACGTTCCTGATGATTGGCGAGTGGTGGGGATTTCCGGTGGTGGACATGTTTGCGACACAACACAACACCAAATGCAATGTGTTTTGCTCCAGATCAGGCAGAGGAAGCGTCTCTGGGAGATGCTTTCATGGTGCAGTGAATGAGCGACCTCTATCTCTTTCCTCTCATCCTACTCATTCAAAGAACGCTAGTCAAGATTCGGCAAGTAAAGGCTGATGTCATTTTTGTGGCACCATGGTGGCCTCGGCAACCATGGTTTACAGCACTCAAGATGATGGCGACGGACATCTTCAAGCTACTACCTCTGCTGCATCTGCTCACACAGAATGCAGAAAAAATTTGCCATCCAGTTCTGGACTCCCTACATCTGACAGCTTGGAGAATTCTTCCATGATTAAGGAAGTCTTAGATAAAGCTAGAAAGCCGTCTACGAAGCTTTTATATTCCTATAAATGGAGGAATTTTCTTCACTTTGCTCAGTCTAGGGACTTGCAAACTCTACCGGTGTCACTTGATACCCTGCTCATGCACTACTTATTTGATCAAGGGCTAGCCTTTTCCACTCTAAAAGTTTATATTTCAGCAATTATTTCTTACCAACCCCTTGGTTCAGAATCTTCACACTTATTTTCACACCCAACTTTGAAGCTGTTCTTAAAGGGCCTTCGCAACCTCTGACCACCTACTAGACCTCCGCTTCCACAGTGGTCTTTGCAAATTGTTTTGTGTGCTCTTACCCATCCACTCTTTGAGCCTATGTCCTCAACTGACCTCCAGTTGTTGTCTTTCAAGACCTTATTCTTGGTCGCAATAACTTCGGCAAGGAGAGCAAGTGAATTGGCTGCTCTTTGAGTTGATGCACCTTACTTACAGTTCTTTCCAGATAAGGTTGTTCTTTACCCCAATATTTCCTTCCTCCCTAATGTTGTTTCTAACTTCCATGTTAATCATCCTTTGACTTTACCAACGTTGTTTCCAAATTCTTTACAAGTTGAGTGTATGCTCCATTCACTAGATGTCCGTTGTGCCTTGGCATATTACACATCAAGGACTAAAGATTTTCGCACCTCTCCCAAGTTGTTTGTTTGCTTCCATGGCCCACACAAAGGCTCTCCTACATCTGCGCAAATGATCTCGAGATGGATTGTGTCCACCATTGCCTTGGCCTATAAACCGGCAGGCAAAGCCCCACCAGACGCTCTGAAGGCACATTCTACTAGAGCCATGGCGACATCAGTTGCTCTGTTATGTGGTATTGATGCCATGGTCCACTGCGTCCACTTTCATGACGGGCCTATAAACCGGCAGGCAAAGCCCCACCAGACGCTCTGAAGGCACATTCTACTAGAGCCATGGCGACATCAATTGCTCTGTTATGTGGTATTGATGTTTCGGACATTTGCTGGGTGGTCACATGGTCCACTGTGTCCATTTTCATGACACATTACTGTTTGGACCTCAGAGCCAAGAAGGAAGCCGGTTTCGGGAGAGCAGTGTTGACTTCGTTATTGGTGTGACGGCCCTCCATCTAGTAAGTGAGCTTGCTAGGCACCCATTTGTGTGGATTCACAGAGGTTACTTACCTGTAACCGTGGTTCTTCAAGTGGTCCTCTGTGAATCCACACATCCTGCCCAGCCTCCCCACTGTCTGTCACTTATTGTCTTAGCTTATTGAAGTTCAGAGCTTTGGATAAATGGAACTGAGGCATAGGACGGGCGCGATTTTTCGCTTTGCGATATTCGCTAAGCGATTCGCTTAGCGAATATCGCATAACGAAGCCGGGGAGAACAGCTGATCGGCAGTTTCAAAATGGCCGCCGGAAGGTCCGCGCCGCATTTTCGTGCCCTGCCCTCGCTTACCGAGGGCGCGAAAATGGCAGCGCTATGGACGAACCTCACACAGCGGTGAGTTTTCAAGCCATAGCAACGCATTGAACAAAGTTCAATGCGTTTCTATGGCTTTTTTATTCCCGCACAGCGATGTTTCGCTATAGCGAAGGTTAATCCGGAACGGATTAACCTCGCTATGCGAGGCACCACTGTATGTACAAGTGCATGATATTCATATGTATCCTCTCTTAATAAATTGGGATTATAAACTTAGCATAATGTACAATGTGATGCATTTGAAGGCAGACTAGATTTATATGATCCTTTTTTTGAATGACCTTTTAATTTTTTTCCACATTGTTGTTTAGATTATGTAGACTGAGCTGTTTTTAAACACAAATGGTTTTCTTATTTGTTTGGAGCTTTAATGAGCATAGGAGCATTAAATAAAACCTTGGTATCTAATGGGAGTACCCTGGTGCTTACTAAATGCTGGGCTGAAGCTGGACCATCCACCATTGAGCAGTGTGTTTCCTCAGACATCTTGTGATGGTGTTGAGCAAAATTATCATTTTGTTCCATCAAGCAAGACTTTCAGCAATTCTGCCAGAATTTTCATTATCATTTTGTTCCATCAAGCAAGACTTATTCTGCCAGAATTTTCTAGGTATAAAGTTTTCAAGGTGGTAGCTGTGTTAGTCTGCAAGCATATCAGAGAAGAAGCAAAACAAAAATAATGGCTTGTTTTGCTCTGTCTCTTATCTGATACCTATAAACTGCATAAAATACTTGGATACTTACCAGTTCCTGCTCAAATACTTACCAGTACCTGCTTCTGATGGCACTCTGGGATCACACAGCTTGCCTAAGACTATACAGGTGGCAGGAAACTTAATTCTTTCAGCCACGTAAACTTCAGGTGATCTCAGTTTGTCCGTTCAGAGGGATTTGAGCTCCTGATTCCTAACTTGGCAGCCATGCATATGTTTCAGGTATAACACCACTTGTTGAAAGAAGTTTTTCCATTCTTATGACAGAATTAAAACCTAAAGGCACATTATTTTGTTATCTAATTCATAGCAGCATATACCAGAATTTGTAAACATTATTTTTCTTTAGCACAAACTCTCTTAGCACTGTGCTTTTTTCTTTAGGTCAAATGTGGTAGCTGCAACACTCCCAAACCTGGATTTTTTGACTTTGAAGGAAAGCAGAAATGGTAAGTGCGAATATCTTATACTTTATATATACCTCTGAGGAGGATTTAGCTTACCTTGTTTTAGTTGTTGAAGAAGTGTTGGGGTAACATACAATTGAATTTTTAGTTTCATATCTCATGTAATTTTTTTTATATGCCTCTGAATGTTTCACTGTGATACCAGTTATTGTTTAATTCCTTAATTTAGTAAAGGCCTTTGAGAAAGGGGCATTGTTTTTTAAATTACTTCATGGTGTTTCTGTTACACACAAGGAAACTCAGCTTGAGCTTTACTTGTTTTATGGAACTTCTCCTGCCTTACTCAGACAAGCTCAATTGTTGCGCAGCTTATATGCTCAAAAGGCTTTGGAAACTTTCCTGAGCTGTGTCTTGCAGGTCAGTGCTCTATGGAACCTTAAAAATCTGCACAATATGAAGGATCTGGAAAATAGCTTTATGAAGATCTGTTTAAGCAGTGATTAGTCCATGGTCTGAATGGAAAACAGATGGAAGGAGCATTTGAAAAGTCATTAATCAAACATTTGCAGACTCATGCTTTTTATTCTGAGTTGAAGAATAACTGATTGGGTCAATTGTGCTATTTTTAAATTATTATTATCTGCTGTTCTTGTTACTGTTGAGTTGATTCCAACTTATGGCAGCTCTTCCCAGGTTTACTCGGTATACAGTGCCCAGAAGTGGCTAACCTGGCTTGCATCTGTGGATACAGGAGAGGGCTTTTTTTTTCTATTACTGCTCCCAGACTTTGGAACCCCCTCCCACAGGAGGTCAGACTGGCCCCACCTTTGCTATCCTTCCACAAGCAGGCAAGGACCTTTCTCTTCAGACAAGCCTTCCCTCAGTGACTGGCTGCCTGAGCGGGGTTCTTAAATTGATATGTTAATTGCTTTCAAAGTGTTTTTAGTATTGCTTTTGTTTAGCATTTCTCAGAGTGGTACTTGTTTGTTCCTTTTTAGTATTTGTATGATTATTGCTTTTAGCTTTAAATATTGTCTTTTAATAAAAAGCCACCTTGTGTCCTTTTTAAGGGGAAAGGATAAAGTAGGTAGGTAGGTAGTTAGATAGATAGAGCGATCGAGCAATCTGTTGGCACTCTGGGTCCATGAAACATGCTAGCTTGTGCAGTGTGAGGCATAGTGGGAAATTGAATTTCCAGTCTCTGGATCTGTAGCCATTTCCTCCAGCCTGCTAATTTATCCAGTCAGTTTATTTCATTAAATGTTGCCAAAATCAGTCCTTGAAATACGTGATATTGGTAGACATGCCTAACTGCTTCTTACACTTTCTTGAGTTTAAAGAGCAATTGTAGGAGAATCGTGTAAGGACTGGGAAACCACTGTGAGTGCCATGTACTAAGTTTCAGTGTTTGTTGGTCTTGCTAGTGCATTTTAGTTTGGGGTTAATTGGAAGTGATAGAGAAGGTTGCCAGTAGTGATTGTTGTATTCCATGTTTCCTACTCACGTCCTATATTATTATTAAACAAACTTAGTTTGGATGTTTGCCTATATTCAAACCTTAATAGGAGAGTGCAGATACCAAGAATGAGTTTATTATGGATGGGTAATCGAATATATGAGTCTGATCCCAGGGTATTGAAACAGAGACGTTAGGTTTGGTGGGAGATATGTTAAGCAGGATTCTTTGAGCAGTGATTCTTCTTCCCTTTGAACCAGGGAAGCTTGGAAAGCATTGGGCGATGCAAGTCCTGAACAGGCAATGAGAGAGTATGTTGCTTCAGTGAAGAAACTGGACCCCACTTGGAATCCACAGGTAGGCTAAATGAGGTACCTTTCTGTCATATATTGAGTGTGGTGCTAATAGTGTCTGCTAGTTCGTTTCCCTATTCCCCACCCAGACCTCTGTGCTGTTCAAAATTCTATTCTGGATAGGTTTTCTATTTGTCAAGGTTTTGACTTGAGAGATGGACTGAAGACTGAAGGAGGAGTGAACTCTCTCGTTTCCTGATTAACTGATAGAGGTGGTTCCATTAATGATGAAAGTGTGCTGCTTCTATCCCACCCCATAGTGCTTAAAGTTCTCTCTGGGCGGCTTACAAGTTAATTATGTAGGCTACAAAGTCCACATTCCCCCGTCCCCCCCGTGAGATGGCTACTCATTTTACTGACTTTGGAAGGATGGAAGGCTGTTGGTTACCTGGGATTGAACCTTGGATTGTGAGCACAGTTTTCACTGGAATACAACAATTTAACCACTGCACCATGAGGATTTTATGGTATGGCATTGTTGGATATCCATCAAGTTGGAGAACTTCTGGCCTTCCAATCATCTTGGGATGGTAACTTTCAGTATCCCTAATTATTGGCCATGCTTGTTGGGGCTAATGGGAATTGAAGTGTGGATATGTTTCAGCTTTCTTCTGTGGAGTATATGCAAGCAAGTCATACAGGCCATGGTCTGTGAACATTTTAGAGTTTAATCTGAGAATTTAATGAAACACACTCTTGTTAGATTTTTACTTTGTTTTTTTTCCTGATACTTGAAATTAGTCCTGTTCTTTTAAAGTAACCTGTCTTTGTGTGTGTGTGTGTGTGTGTGTGTGTGTGTGTGTGTGTGTGTGTGTGAGAGAGAGAGAGAGAGAGAGAGAGAGAGAGTATGAGTGAGTGAAAACAAGCCTCCAGACCTTGGGATTTGGCAGAATGAATATGTATTTGCTGTCTCCCTGTTTTGTGTGTTTTTAAAACCAAGTCCTTTATTTAAGAAGTTCTAATGCATAAACGGCTAGCTGTATTTTGCTTGATGTATTTCCTTGGTGAATTTCCAGCTTGTGAAGGCCCAACCAAAGGATCAGTGCATTTAATATTACCTGGAGAAGTAATTAACTAGATATAAAATATCAACTGGTTTTGAGGAAATGGTTGTAAGAGAGGAATCACATATTTTCAGCGGTAAGAATGTACAGTTTTTATTTGTCAGTCCTCTAGAATAAACCCTGGAATTTATGGGTAACATTTGTACATTCTGAAGTACTTATTTTGATACCTATACTGTATGTCATGTATATACACCTGTATGTGTATATATACGTAAATGTAAACTATTGGAAATGAGTTACATTTTCTATTTTCTTTGCTGTACTTATTGTTACTATATGTAGTGTAACTGTGTTGAGTGATACTGGTTGAAGGTGTTCAGGGATCCACTGAGCAGAGTTCTCTAATAAATTGCCCTTTTGGAGGGGGACACTGTGAAATGGGAGCTTATCATGATGTAAGAAAGACCTGTTATTTGCTTGCAGGTTTTGGCTTTGGCATATATTAAGCTGCTTTACTAAATCAGACCATTGGTCTGCTGAGCCCAGTATTGTTGACATATGCAGACCCATAACCACAGAGTTTCAGGCAGAACAGCACTGTTGATGCTATCATAGCTTAAGTTTCATTTCGGATGTTACACCACTGATAAGGCAGTGTATAGGGCAATGATGGTGAACCTACACGCGTACCACAGCTCGAGACCTCTCCCTGGACACCCGAGCAGAGAGCTACCCCCCCACTCCCTGCAGCTGAACCTCAAACTGCATGATTGTAAGCCACCTATCCCTACCTTCCTTGGTTGTGGCACTTGTAAATCAGTTCTTTTACAGATCAGAGCTAAGGCTGCTTTATTGTTTACTGCTGAAGAACAGCCTGGGGCAGTCAATCCGGCTTGTGAATTACTACTTCCATCAGATGTGACTGTAAGCAGGAGGGAAAGCTCGAATTAAGGTGGGAAGGAAGGTGCGAGAGAGGGACAGGTGGATTCATCAAGCTTGTTTAAATGTAAGATTGTAGAAAATGGAGGGAGGGAGGGAGAGTGTGAGAGAGATACTGACTTTCATAAAACCATGAAAAAAGGACGTGACTGCAAGGATGGAAGACTCCAATTAAGGCGTGAAGGAAAGTGTGATAGAGGGACCGGGTGGTTTCATCAAGCTAGTTTAAATGTAATGAGAGGAAACTGACATACTGAACTGAAGCAACTGATTGTTGAAAATTTAGGGTGTGCATGTGAGAGAGAGGGGGGAGAGAGGAGACAGAGAGAGACTTGACTCTTTCATAAAACCATGAAAAAGGAACCTTTAAAATTTAATCTCCACTGCATTTAGCTCTTCAGTTTCTGCTGAGAACAGCAAGTACTTCAAGATTCTGTTTAGACACTGAATTTGTACTGGGCAGAACTAGAATATTTTAAAAAGTCTCGCTAACAGCAAACACCTAGTAAAAGACAACCAACACACTTGGGACTAGATGTCAGAAGTATGAAGCAATTACATTTCTCTGTTTCTTATCACCAAAGCAGACAAGAATATCATAGTTTATTCCCCAAATCTGAATCCCTGTCTCTCTGCTCCTGGTCCTGCTTTGACTGCAATACCAAACAGAAAAAGGTCTTAGAAACAAAGACTGTGGGTTTCTTTATTGAGTCAATCCATTCTTCCTCTTTTCCTACTACATTGCACTTTTTCCTGCATTGCTGCTGTGACGGCTGTGATGATGTCACCTGCCTGTCACTGCTATGGCTGGAG